CCACTGAACTGATATTAATGCAATTATTTCCCGTATCTTTTCCCACCTGAAGCCCATCCCTTAACAACACCATGGACAGAAATTGAAGCCTGAATATGGCCACCCACACATCTCAAAACCTCATAATNATAAATAATAATAATAAAACCACTGATATTAATGCAATTATTTCCCGTATCTTTTCCCACCTGAAGCCCATCCCTTAACAACACCATGGACAGAAATTGAAGCCTGAATATGGCCACCCACACATCTCAAACAGAAACCTCATAATAAAATGTATCTTACTTTGCTGACCAGTATATTCTAGGATTTATAATCCAATGGTTATTTATTTAACCCCACCTTTTGTCTTAAAAGGAGCCAAGTAATCTTTGCTATCAATATTTGTTCACCATTGCAAAAAATGTTTATTTCTATTACACTTAAATCAGAGAAAAAAGCATACAATTTCTTTCATCAAAACTACGTTTGTCTTCAGACTTTCAGACTTGTTTTTGTAGCAATTGTTCTTTCTTGCTGGGGGCCATTTTTTAAAACAAACATTTATTTAAATCTCCTTATAACAATTGTTTTGTCTATTTTTAAAGAAGAGGGAGCTCCAGCAAGAGAAACTTGTATGACAAAGGTGCACATGCTGAAAAATTTGCTTCAACACAATTATTAAAGCTACAGAAATTCCACTGCCCATTTCATGTGGCTACCATGTTTCCCCGAAAATAAGACAGGATCGTATATTAATTTTTGCTCCAAAAATGCATTACGGCTTATTTTCAGGGGATGTTTTATATTTTTCATGTACAACAATCGACATTTATTCAAATACAATCATGTCATCTTTTTCTGGTGGCTGCACAAGAGTGGAGGGTGGGGTTTCACTTCACTGGGGCTTATTTTTGGGGTAGGGCTTATATTACGAGCATCCTGAAAAATCATACTAGGGCTTATTTTCAAGTTAGGTCTTATTTATAGGAAGCAGGGTACTACAGAAGTAAAATTATATATTATGATGTTGGTTGCTACCAATCCTCACTTTGCTCTCACAGTTCCTCTCTCAAAACATCTCTTTTTCTTCTTATACATTTCTGAAAAAAATGCATTTCAACAACAACATGCAATGTCTCCAGCATTCTTGTCTTATAGAACCACCAAAACGTTCCTACAAATATCCATTCTGTTTTGGTGGAAAGGAGAGCAAACTGAAAAGTGGGCATCAAGTAGGATTCCAAAAAGCCCATGACCACGAAGGACAGTTTTTTAGGGTGGAAATCTGTCAAACCCAAAACCATGATCTTCATTTAATATTTTGTTCATACTGCTCACAAGCCATCCTGTAACCAAAGTTCTGTGGGCTGCTTGCAAGAATAACAAACAAAACTGCAAATCATAACAAAATACAGCAAAGGGAACATGGCTCACTATTATGAACCAAAACAATTAAAAAAGCACAGATGACAGAGGAAAGGAAAGGCTGTCATCCAATCACGTGCAGACTGAAACCCCTGAAATCGACTCTCAAAAGCTTGATTCCAAGAAGCAAGGTTATCTGTGTTCCCTCTGCTGCACGGCTGACCCAGTTTTATAGAATTTGGCCAAGTAAAAAGTCTCCGCTGACTCTTTCCTGCTGGCAGGAGGCTTTAAGAGTTTCACTTCCTTGAAGTGTTCCATGAGTCTCTTTTGGAGGAGGCTGCTGTCCCGGCCCTGCCAGAATTTGCAAAGGAGGGTCCCGCCAGGCTCCAAAACATGAGGGGCCAGATCCAGAAGAGATAAGCAGAGCTGGATCAACTTGAGGTGATCTATTTCGCGGACCCCTGTAGCGTTAGGGGCCATGTCACTCAGGATGACATCCGCTTTCCCTTTGGGGAGCACCTCTTGGATTTTCTTCTGGGTGTTCAGATCTGTGACATCGGAGTAAGGCAAAAAGGTTGCCCCTTCCAGGGGGAAAAGGTGCTGGAGGTCAACTCCCAGGACAAAACCAGTAGGGGCACTCGGATCTAGGAGGCAAAGAGTCAAGGTGAAATAACACAATCACACCGAGCCAGCCTGACTTTCCTCCAAAAGTTCTTGAGAGGAAAAGAGAGAGAGAAGCAAGAGCAACTTGTGGCATCCTGAACTCGCAGGAAGAAATCCAGGCTATAAATGCAACTAATAAACAAACCAGTCATGATCAACACCCACTTATGGACCCGTTTCAGGGTTTGACCTAATTCCCTTTCAATGCCACTCATCATCCATACATGTGGCAAGAAATTCTATATACTGATTACACACAATGTGAATTGTTTCTTTTTGTGTATGAGGTTCCACAGCCCTCCTTTCAAGGGCTGAAATCCAGCGGTCACAACTAGAGGAGGGCCACTGAATCAGTGGGGATTTGGTGAGTCAACACCTATGTAAGTTTCACTGATGTAATGGGCCTACTCTGGCTGTGACTTGCAACTGGATTTCAGCCAGTGGAGTATAATACTTCTTGAACTCTCCAGTAGGTTTACCAAACAAAGGCACTAAGAAAATATTTATTTATTTATTGTATTTATGTGACAGGGCACATAGTTTTCCCAGGAAGCCTTTCCATTCTGCCACCAACATGTGTTCCACACATTCATAATCTGCAACTGGATGTTGTCAAAGTACTGTTAAGCATACCTTTGGCCAGCATACTAATTTATCTCAGTCCATACATTTTATTTCTAGCACCCCTACCCTGTGAGAAGCTTTTCTAAAAAGCAAGCCTTTCGGTAAAGAAAGATCAATATTTCAGAAATCGTAGTCACTGATCACTTTCTCATCAAGCACTTCCAGAATCGGCCAGCAATAGTGACATTTTCTGCTGTTGGAGCACTTTTTCCTGACATAAACAAATTAAACTGAATTCTTCCACGATAAACCATCAGGTCACATTTTTAATGAGTCAGCCAGGAAGATCAGATCATCAAATAACAATTAGATAAGGAGAGGATACTGCTCTGGATCTGATCAACCCAGTAAAAGTTTTAACTTCACCCTTGCTTGGGGGATAATCCTTATAAAAAGGAATCGAGCTCAATCAAGTCCCATTAAATCTGGCAAGAGTTACAACACAGCTAACAGGCAAGCATCACAAACTGGAAGACAACTACCCATTGGCCTGGGTCCCCTTCCAAACCAGCTTTTCCCAACCTGAAGCCCTCCAGAAATGTGGGAACTACAATTCCCAGGCCACCACAGCTAACTTCATAGGCTACGATATGGTGCAAATTGTAATCTGACAAATCTGGAAGATGCAAAGTGTAGGAGATGGTGTTCTACACAAACTCACCAGAGCCAGCAGCGTTGACTCTCTGGACTGCAACTTGAGCCCAAGCACCAGGGGCTGCGCCACAATCGATCACATGTAGCCCAGGGAGAAGGATCCTGTGTTTGTCATCTATTTCCAGCAGTTTGAAGGCACTCCGGCAACGATAGGCCTGCTGTTTGGCTTTCTTCACATATGGGTCACTGAAATGCCGCTCCAGCCAGTGTTGCTCTGCTCCCGTTTTCCCTAGGTACGGCCCTGCAGAGTGGATCCTCCGGCACTGTAGCACAAGCCTTGAGAACTTCCATTTCCTAAAGGAAATGCAGATTGTTACAGACGATGTTCTAGAATCTGATTGTACCCCTCCAGATTTCCACACCCTTCCAGTTTCCTTTTCTAAAATCAGCAAATCTTCTTTTAAAAAAAAAGTTTCAAAAGACTGTTTAAAAAAGGCTGTCTCATGCTTCTAGTCCCTTGTGGGAACTCACAACAGGTTAAAAATCATAATGCCGTGAAAAACAATTCCCCTCTTTCACTGTTGACACACATACACCCCAACACATGCTTGTAATACAATGCAGCACTTCTGAAGTAGGTGGAGGAACCACATCTGATTAAAAGTGTAGTGTACAAAAACTTGCTCTTGTTCTTCCGTGTCATCAACTCACCTCCGACTTATGGTGACCCTTCCAATGAGCGATCTCCCCAAAAAACACACCCCATAACAAATGTGTTCATTTTTGCAGTGCAGTCCAGACTCTTTACACTTTCTCCCTAAAACACCTAAGAGCCTAAAGATTACAAGTTTTATTTGGCACCACAGCCCATCAGGGGCACCTAAGAAATTTACTGAGCTGAAAGCAACACCTTTGGCATTTTAGGGGACCGACTCCATCAGGGATCTCCCTGAGAGTCGGAAACTGTCCTGGCAGGGGCCCTTCCCGTCCACAATGATTGTCTCCTGCAACCTGCCTCCCCTCCACAAACAAGAGACCATCTCTAAGACAGTCANGGGGGGGGGGGGGGTGTTTGTTATTCTCAGGATAAGCATGTATTAGGATTGCAAGGGAAGGGTGCGTCGTCTGGGGAGGGGGGAGACAAAAGGTAGGCCCATTGGGTGCGCACGCGTTTGTGTGTGTGTGTGAGAGAGAGTTTTGTGCTTCCCCCTCTGGCAAGGCACTCACCGGCTCATGTCCTCGCCAGATACTGCTTCCCGTTCCAACCAAAAGGGGACGGCTTTCAGCGGCGCACCGATGTGTCCGTTCCCTTAAGTTTCCCCCTGAAAAACAAGAGTCCCGCGTCCCGAGTTCCGCTCGGGAACAGAGACCTTAAAATTATTTATTTATTTATTTAACTTATTTTTTTTCTGCCGGATTTCCCCGCCCTGAAGAGAGCCACGCCTGGCCCGGCGGGACTGCCACCCCCCCTTTTTTTTTTTCAGGGCCGGCGGCGGTTTCGTCTCCCGCCTTTTTTCTTGGGAGGACTTGGTGGTGGGGAAACATTTCTCTCCCCCTTGCATCGTTTTAGGGATAAAGAGGGACGCTGGAGGGAAAAAAGTGGCGAAAGCTAGACGGGGAGAGAAGTAGGAGGACGGAAGCCGAGAAATAAAGCCCTGTTGAATTAAAGGGACGGTTTCGTGGTTGTAAACCCCAGAGGTGAGAGATACTCCTTAAATCCTAAAAATCATGCATAAGCAGTATCAGAGATTGGGTCCTTTCCAGCTCTAGAAGGTTATGATGTCTACTCAAAGCCCCAAATGCAATTGCATGCCAAGTCTTGACGTGCTTGTTTAGAAGCAAGCCCCACAGAGAGTGCAATGCAGGTTGCCCCCCCCCCCCAAAAAAGAAGCTGCCCTCTGTAACCTAGTTCCAAGCACACTGGTGTGCAAGTATCAGAGATTGGGTCCTTTCCAGCTCTGGAAGGTTATGATGTCAACCCGAAGCCCCAAATGCAATTGCATGCCAAGTTTTGACGTGCTTGTTTAGAAGCAAGCCCCACAGAGAGTGCAATGCAGGTTGCCCCCCCCCCCCCAAAAAAGAAGCTGCCCTCTGTAACCTAGTTCCAAGCATACAGGTGTGCACCCACTTCTCTGGCAATGATATGAACATACAGTATTCTGCCTAGAATCGTGCTGTTCTATGGGGCTTTTTAATGTGTTGGGCTTTGGGTGGGGCAACAGGACATGCTGCAGAACTGACAAGACTAGAAAGCCAGTATTTGAGAAACAAGTCTTGTGGGCTGTTTAATGGTTACACCTTATTATATTTGTCTCATATGTTCTCTTTTTTCCCCTGCCCTGTTTCTTCAGAATGCTATTTTTATTCACAACGACAGGAACCTCTTGGGAACCGTGGCCCCCCAGAATTCTCATTCAACCATCTCTTCCGTTGCCTGTTTGCTAGCTGTTAATTTGCTTTGAGCGAATGAATTTGACAGCTGGTGTCCTCCCTTTTGTACACAGTGTGAAGCATGCTGACCACCAAGCTGTTGACTCTGGTTCTCGTGGTGCAGCCACAGCGTGTCTTGCTGGGGATGAAGAAGCGTGGCTTCGGCGTAGGTCTCTGGAATGGATTTGGAGGGAAGGTGCAACCAGGGGAAACCATTGAGCAGGCGGCTAGAAGGTATGAATGGGACCACCTGGGGACCACAGCTGCCTTGTGCAAGCAGGACAGGGTGGGTCTTTATTGTGTCTGTAGTAGACAATCATTTTTATATATGTTTTATAAAAACAATAATAAACACCCCATGTCTATTCATATATACAAACAAATAAATAATCCAAATATTGTAAGGGGTAATTCTGAAAAATGAGGCCATCAATTCATCTAGCATTAACTTTACTCGTTATGCGCAGGGAGCTACAGGAAGAGAGCGGACTGACGGTGGACACTCTGCACAAGGTGGGCCTGATCACTTTCGAATTTGTGGGCGACACGGAGCTGCTGGAAGTCCATATCTTCCGTGCTGACAGTTTCAGAGGAGAACCCACAGAGAGTGAGGGTAAGAGAGTGCCTGGAGAAGGTTTGCAGTTTCTCTGTTCTCTTTGCAATTTGTATCCAGCGATTGCGTTCGTCATGCTTGTAAAAAGCTTCCTTCACTCGGAACAATGAGGCAGTTTGGTCTCCCTGTCCGAATCTGTCTCTGTTATCTGAAACAGAAGTCCTAAGCCCTGGGCCATGCATGGAGCTTAAAATGGGGTAGGCACTTACCTACCCATAAAACTGGTTCAGTTCCACAGAGCCTGCTAGGAAATGTGAGCGTTCTTGAGCAGACATCTACCTAAATGGGTCTGTTTGAGGGGATGTGGTGGTGCTGCAAATTAAACTGCAGAAGCTTTTGTGCTGCAAGGTCAGAACATCACCAGTTGTGAGATCGAATCCATGCGACAGAGTGAGCTCCCGTCGCTTGTCCCAGCTCCTGCCAACCTAGCAGTTTGAAAGCATGCAAATGCAAGTAGATAAATAGGTACCACCATGGTGGGAAGGTAACGGCGTTCCGTGCCTGCTGGCCATGTGACCACGGAAACTTGTCTACAAATGCTGGCTCTACAGCTTGGAGACAGGGATGAGCACCGCACCCTAGATTCTGACATGACTAGACTAAATGTCAAGGGGAACCTTTACCTTTTGAGGGGAAAGGAGGAACCACCCAAAATATTCTGTGGCACATTAAAACATTTTATTTGGTGTAAGCTTTCCTGGGCCTACAGCTCACTGCATCCGATAGAGGGCATGTGGCCTAAGTTGGCAAATTATGTTTACCAAACAATTGGCTTGAAGAGTTTCTGGGAGAAAGAAGAGGGAGAAAGGAAGGGTGTAAACGATGCTAAGAAAACAATGGTTATTCTCCATCCTAAATTAGTCTTTCTCTTGGTCCATCCCTTTTAGAAATGCGCCCCCAGTGGTTTGAGCTTGACCAGGTGCCCTTCAAGAACATGTGGCCAGATGATGTCTACTGGTTCCCCCTTCTGCTGCAGAAGAAGTTGTTCCGTGGGTACTTCAAGTTCCAGGGACAGGACACGATCTTAGAATACACCCTCAAAGAGGTGGAGAAGATATAAGAGAGGCCAAGCCCAGGAGCCATCCTGCCCAAGGGTTAACGCATAGCCCACATTGGGGGAAAGAGACGAAACATTTGAACTTCATGAAAAGTCTTGGTCAAAAGACTTTTCCTGTAGCAAGAGAAAACAATTCTGTAACAAGTGGTTGGTGGACAGAAAACCTGTGGAACCTTGTAGAATAAAGGAAACCCTTTTCATCACATGTTGATGAATGCTTACTGTGAACGCTTTGGACTGAGCACCCTGTAACCCGTGATTCTGTACTAGCTCGGAGGCGGACTCCCTTGTTCCTGTAGGTATTATTATCCCCCTTGTGTTATGTACAGCTCAGCCTTTCTTTTAATTCGAGCAAAAGTTACGGGCAGTAGCCTTGCATCCTGAACCTGAAGTATTTCTGTGTTTTACGTATCATAAAGACCAAAGTGCAATATCATGATGTCAGTGGTGGGGGTTTTTTGCCAGTTTTAGCTTAGATTAAAAGAAAGCTTGCATTTTGCTACATCTGTGGGATAGATCAGAGGCCTGTGCTTTGCCTGCAGACGGTTCCAGGTTTGATGCCCGGCTTCTCCGAATATTGCAGGGGAAAACGTTTGCCTGAAGCCTTAGAGAACTGCTCCCAGTGAGTGAGGCTGGATCCACTCCCATTTGGAGTAAATCCAGTTAAGTCAAGCAGTACCGGTTGTTTGTAGAACACACTGTAAAGAAGGAACGGCCGTGTATTGTTTTTAGAAAAACTGTAACAAGTAATGGGAAAAAATACTTTTAACAAACCCACTTCTCAAATATGGCTTCCAAGTGAGTATAAGACTGCAATCTGAAGAACGCGAGATCACCATTTCTGGGTGGAAAGATGGGACGCTATGGAGTATCTTGAACAGAACTTAGAAATACTTGAAAATTTGGGAGACCAGCCAGTACAGTTCCAGTCATTCATAGACACAACATTCAGAAAATAAATAACACATATTCAACTGAAGAATGTTACCTTTTATATATATATATACAAGCTTTATATATCTCTTACAAATACATATTTTGTAACATCTGATAGATTTTTTTTTGGAATGTCATAATCTGTAAACATTTTATTTTTTTAGTCTACCAGCCATAGTAAGACATCCTCTGATTCCTGCAGTTTAATAAAGTGCTTCACTTCTTTAAAAAAAGAACACTGCTTTTTGTTTTGTTTTGTTTTTGCAAAGTGGGCAGGAGGTATGAAGTTGATAAAATCCAGAATTTATTTTGGACGAGAACTCCTGGAATCCTCCAGCCAGCACAGCCAAAAGGATTTTGGAATTGAGGTCCAAAAAAAGAAAGAAAGAACAGAAAATGTTTTTCCAAACTCTGATAAAAATCCCAAAAAAGGGGATTTTATGCTGGTGATTAACAGACCAAAAGTGAGGTTTGAGATGGTTTTTGTTGCTGCTGCTGTTTTTTAAGGAGTTCCCCATTCTACAAGACAGAGATCTTTTACATCAGCTTCCCCCTGCTGTAGTATGAACACAGTTCCTCAAAACAAACAGAAACTAAATCAAAGGGGTTCTCCCAGTAGGAGACCAACAAAGAGAAATGGCAGACCAGGAAGATGGTAAGTTGCTCATAGTTTCTCTCCCAAGGCACTGAGAACATGCATTTTAAGAACACCCAAATAGGAATCAAGACCACCTCCTGGCCTGGCGATATTACCCAGTTCTTGACTAGGCAAGGCTGAAAGAAAACAGCTAAGAGGCACACACCTCAATTTTTAAACCTGTCTAAGGATTCATCCCATTCCTATGGATAATGTTGCAATCCTGTATGCATGAACTAAGCCCACTGATTTCCTCCAGATATGCGTAACCATCACAGTCTCACTGCTTCCTTAAGAAGCAAGTTCTAGAGTTCAAAAGGGACTTAGGCATAGGATTGTACACTAAAAGAACACAACTAAGCACGTGCTTGCTTTAGAGTTCAGTCTCTATGCCATTTAAGCCAGCTGAGTGGACAAAGCCTGCTTAGTGTCTCAGGGATGGCAACATCAGCGGATTAGGTCTGAGGTGCTTGACCATCGCGTCGCATTGGCCTTTCAACCAGACTACCAAGTCCACCAACCCTTTCTTCTCAACTTCAGCACTTCGGTTTGGAAGGGAATCCGAGTGGCCTGATTCCTATAGATGCTCTAGCTACCAAACAGGGGAGAATCAGTTACTGGGGTGGGGTGCCAGATACCAGAATTTACCTGGGGCACCAATCTGAAAAGATCTACACAGCGGTAAGGGTGGCTCAGTAGCTAGCCATCTAAGTAGCCAGTCGTCTACTGTTTGTTCCTCCGTAGAGCTACAAAACATGGCTAGTCTACGAAAATCAGCCTGCCCTGAGCTTTAGCATGCCCGGCCCACGGATGGAAAGACTCTTGGGCAGTGAGGTGTTCCTGCTTAACTTCCTGTGCCCCTCATCCGTCCTTGTGCAGCCATTTGCACTGCTGCACAGAAGGACTGGCGGGGGCCACAAGCAGGATCCCTCACTCAACACTACTCACGTTCTTTGGGACCTTACAAAGATACACAAAGTAAGGGTACATCCAGAGTTTGGTTGAGCCGATTAACCTGGTTGGGGGAGTGGGGGGAGAGTCCTTGGATTTCTCTTGCCTCACTAAAGGATCCGGGGAATTCACTTATTTGAAAGGCTTTTTCCTTTCTATATGGAAAAAAATTTGAATCCTTGCTGCTCTAAGGGAAGAAATAAAAAATATCAATACATATTACAGTATGTCCACTGTAAATTTTTTTTAAAAAAATTTGTACTGATCTACCAAGAAAAAGACAGGAGAAAGAAATGGAGGCTGCGTGGGCCTTCAGTCTGGTTTCAGCCTCACTGGGGCGCTCAATGGCCTTTCCGAAAGCCAGAAAGAGAAAGCCCCAAAGCCAGCCTGAGGAACAGAGTTGATCCTCAAAAGGTGACTAGGTTCAACATTGGTCCACAGCTCCCGCATCTCAGACACGCCAGGAACTTTTGCTTGCTCTTGAATTACTTTGAGGAGTGGGCTGGGAGGGAAAGCAAGGCAAAGACTGGGAGGGGGGGGCACACAGAGAGGTTCCTAATCCCTCCGTTTTGAAAGGATAAAATGGGAGCTTCTGTTATATATCAACACTACGAGCTGTATCTTATTCGGAGCACAAGGCCTGCACGTAAGCCCTACCCTATTCCTGCAGACTCCTGTTGTGCAGTCACGCACACAATCCCGTACACAACCTGTCTTCCACGGCCACCCTTACAAAACTGGACAATGCAACGAGGTAAGTCCATGTAACATTATTCACACCGAGGGTAGCACCCTCGTTAACGGAAAGAGTCTTTCTCGGTTGTTTTCAAAAGGTGGTGCCACGAAAACAAAAACAAATAAATTAGGAAGTGTGCACCCTCCCACACATACACGCACAGACTTTTTTTTTTTTGTAAGGAAACCCCCCTGCAGCCATTTAGGGAGGATACAGGTAAAGGCCGATATAAATCTTTTTTTTTTTAAGACGATTCCTCACCAAACCTCCCTGCAGCCATTTAGGGAGGAGACAGGTAAAGGCCGATATAAAACTTTTTTTTTAAAAAACGACGATTCCTCACTAACAGCAAGAGCCCAGCTTTATAACGTGCACGATGGCTCATACATGCCGACCCGTCTAACACAGTCTCATTCTTTGATCTTGCCTCTCCCATTCAAAAGCGAATGGTTTTTTTGTTGTTGTTCCGTTTCATTTTGTTCTTACAAAGCAACAGGTTCACATGAACCTGACCTTGTATTTGTATTCTTGGCCCAAACTTAAAAAAAAAAAAAAAAGCAACGCGCCCCGAAGAGGGTCAAGCAGCTCTTCTGCTGACCTCAGGGCTCTGCTCCTGTTACAAACATGCAGAGCTCCCCCCCCCACACCACCACCTCACCCATGTTCCACAAACTCAACGCTGGGGATAAAGAGGCCCCTTTAAATATAAGTCTTTGGATTGTCTCCAACCTAGCTTCTGAGTTTAGCAAGTAGCAATAACTCAAATGGAACAGAGATTTTGCCACAACACACACGCGTACATGCACACTATCCTCTCTGTCTCTGAAGCCCCGATCGGGAATGCTAATAAAGCAGCTTTCATTACATTCCACGCTGGGGCCTGCCAGAAAGGATGCAGCTCCCTGCCAACACACCGGACAACAAGACAGTCATCCTTTAAATTCACCTCTCTGGAGAGGCAGCCCCGGCATGGAAAGGGAAGGAAGGAAGGAAATTAGGCCCCTTACACTCATCCCTTGTGGCTTTCTCGCCTGCTTCGAATGCACTGCTTATTAAAACATCCAGGCAAAATAATCTGCATCCTGATCATAACAGGTGACAACAGTGTGTTGCTATTTAGCTTGTGTGTACAAATAGGAAAAATATAGATATAGAAAGGGAACAACATGAACCAAATGGGGCTAGAAAGGTGCCTCCCAAATTATATCAAGTGAAACATATAAACAGTAAGATGCCTGTTTTAAAAAACCACCTTAGAATGCCACACAAAAGGTGTGTAGGTTTTTTTGAAGATGGCAGGATTTTACAGGAATACGACGAATTAAAAAACAATTAAGTAGCACTAAAATGTGCAAAATAAAAGCATTTGCTCACAAAAACATTTTAAATACTCTCGATTAATTTGAAATTTGACTCCTGCCTAAGCGATCATCCCAAATGGATTGGCCTTTGATTAATTTTTTTCTCCCCAGTAGAAAAACATGTGCTGTGGTGGCGCTGTGGGCTAAACTGCAGAAGCCTGTGCTGCAGGGTCAGAAGACCAAGCAGTCGTAAGATCGAATCCACGCGACAGAGTGAGCGCCCATCGCTTTGTCCCAGCTCCCGCCAACCTAGCAGTTCGAAAGCATGCAAATGCAAATAGATAAATAGGGACCACTTTGGTGGGAAGGTAACAGCGTTCCGTGTCTAAGTTGCACTGGCCATGTGACCACGGAAGATTGTCTTCGGACAAAACGCTGGCTCTATGGCTTGGAAACGGGGATGAGCACCGCCCCCTAGAGTCGGACACGACTGAACAAAAAAAAAATTGTGAACCTTAGAAAAACATACTGGAATGTTGTACCTTTATGGAGTGTCTCGGTTATATCAATAGCACTGATTTCAAGGGTCAGCCGAGTGTAATACTCAGCTCTAAAGATCTCTCGACCCAGCAGTGTTTATCTGATTCTGCCAACAATCAGTTTAGCAGAGATGAAGTCTGACTGCATCCATCTGGGAGGAAGGCGGATTCTTTTCAGACCTGATTTGTCTTTTTGAGAAATATGGGATTTGTTTTTTACAGACATTTTTAAAATATTTGCATTGTTTCCTGAGACATCCTTTAAACACATAACATAACTTCGACTTCCACCATATAGCTTATTGCTGTGCTTTTCCCCGGCGCGCCATGTTATGGATGCTATACGATGGGGTCGACCTTCTGGCCACTCAGCCACAGCTTCCTAGCTCTAGTAAACTGGTACGTTCATAATAAGGAGAGAAACGTGCAAGACTTTTCTACACACACAAGCTATTCATGTAGACAAATGTCTGCAACCCTTGGTCCCTAAACTGTAACTAGTTTTTCAGGAGAGTCAGCCACTTTGGAAAGGGTGGGGGATAATGAAGGCTCCCAACTCCATCTGCAACGTGATGTCATGGTATCATCTCAAACCATAGATGTTCCTCCCTCCATATTTTGATCTCCAACTGGGTCGCATGGCATACGCGGCTTGGGGCCAGATTTGGCCCAGCTCCATCTAGCTGCTCTCCCTTTCCCTGAAGGCAGCATCCTCCAAAGCAATATCCTCCATTTTCAATGGCTGTGGAGGCCAGGAACAATAGCCTGGTAGCGGGTTGAGGAAGGCTGCCTTAAGGGACAGCCAGATGCAGAAACCGGAATGGCTCAAGGGACAAGCGTTCAGATTTGCTTTCTATCAGGTCAGATATCTCTCCAGCTACTCCATTATTGCCTGCTCTGGCTGGCAGCAGCTCTCCAGAATGCCAAGCAGGGAAGGATCTTTCTCATCGCTGCCATGTGATCTGTTTCATGTCCAGGATCGAAGCTGGTACCTTCTGCATCTCAGGAAGGGCTCTACAACTGAGCTAAAGTCAAACTCAAACACACACACACACACACACACACACACACACGGGGGGGGAGAGAGAAAGATACAACTTTAACTTGAGAGAGTCAAGTTTGCCTAAGAACCAGCCATTAGACATGGGTAAAGTTAAATGAACAGGTATATCAGGGCAGGGCAACTGGTTACCAGTTGCCCTGGTGGCACCACAGCTCCCATCATCCCCAATTATTAGCCATGCTGGCTGGGGACGATGGGAGCCAAAGTCCAATGGCATCTGGAGGGCCCCGGAGTACACCAGTGACCGAAAATTCCTAGCACTCTGTCCTGCGCATAAACAAGAAGCTTCTGGGAGAAGAACGTTCCTCCCCACGCTCCAGCACTTCAACAGGGACAAGGAAATAATTGAAAAGGTGGGAGAGCCTCTTGCTCTGTGCTCTGTCACATTTCCAGGTAGCCCATCAAATCAGGGAGCAGCTCAAAGCAGCAAAAGGGAGGTGGGAAGACGAGTAGAAGCAGAGTTAAAGAAAGCAAAGGCCTCCATGGTTTTATGTCACACACCGGCACACCGCTCTCCCCCTGCCCGCCGCCTCCCGGAGAGTCCTAAAGCATTAACTAGAAAAGAGGTTTCCCTCCTGTGATGACAACGGGGTTGATGCCTGCGTGTTGCTGGATCCCCCAAAGAGGCAGCTGAGTTTGGGCTTCAGTTCACTCCAGACTTTGCTCATCTAGAGGAGGGAGAGAAGAAAAACGTGCGAACCGTCACTTAGGCAAGGCTGCAAGATCTAACTACCAACAAAACAACACCCTGGAGGTAAACCAAACATTTATAGAGTGGAAGATTGTAAAAGCTTGACCATATTTTTCACGCAAACCTCTTCTCAGGCTAGCCTGTTGTGCTTTCAGTTAATTACTGTACTACTTTCAGAAGGGCTTATTGTAAATTTAAAGCACGCATACACACACAGACAAAAACAGTCATAGATATAATACACAAGACCATAACTGCAGGAACCAGAGGTTCAGCTACTGCAGAAAAAGGCAGGCGTGGATTCAGAAATTGACGGTTACCGCTGCTTTTGAAGTCAAAATGGCAAAGCGAGACAGAAGAGGGAAGGGAACCTAAGAGTTCGTAGAAATAGCATTCAGTAGAAAAAAAGAGAAAAGAAAAAGCCCTAAGCTGGGGATTATCTTTCCATCAGTCCAGTAAAGACTGAACGTGTTGAGTGAACTCACAAAGCACTACGGACTAACTGTTCGGGTGGGGAAAACAACATGGAAAACTGGAAGGGAAGGGAATGAGATTCTCATGAAGAACGGACAGGTTGAACGGCCAGCACAAAGGCCAGCCAGGAGAGCTAACGATGTACTCTAACCATGTGTCCCTCTGGTTCATTAATGAGTAAATATTGGCCGAGACGGAATCCCACCTTAACCGAGGTTTAAAGGAGACGGTGAGCTCAGAAGAACGATTCCTTAGAAAAGCAGCCTGGAGGAAAGCAAAGGGATACGAACCGTCTGTTTTAGAGTCAGGACGTAACCTGAAAAGACCCTTACCTCCTTATGACCCTGAATCTGGGAGTTGACGAAAGCCCCCAGGATGTGAGATGTGAGCGGAAGGTAGATGTGGATCAGCTGAGTCTCTTGGTGCAGGCAGTAGAGGGAGAAGAAGTTCCGCAGCTCCATGGTCAGGATCGCGTTCTCTTGCTAAGAAAGAAAAGTCTTTAGCGGGACACCCAGAGAGGATAAGCGGCCACGCAGATCTCGGCAGGGGTGGCTCATCCTCCCGGAGAGCCCTTCCTGTTTCAGAACCTGAGCATCCACGGGAACAGATCCCCTCTCCCCACCAGGCTCGGGAGGAACCCACAAAAAGGTGAGACTGACGGGAACCAGAAGCTGCTGCCATAACCACGAAGGAGTCCTCCCAGCTCGCAACTAAGGTCACTCGTTTTGCTGGATTTCTGGCTCGGGACCCTTAACCCTCCACCCTTTCTGAGCTCGTGCAGAGCCACTTGGAAGAGAGGCGGCCCTGGACACTTCCTCGTGAGCAAGCCAATCCCGTTAAGAGAAGAGGGGCAACGGCGATACCTCCACAATCCGGGATTCCAACTGCTCCACGGACTCCGGCTCCTTGTTCTGTGCCGTGGCGCTCATCATCTGGCGTTTCATCATGCTATACTTATGCAAAGCTCTCTGGTGCTTGTGCAGGACTCCCTTCTCATGCCTCTCGCACAGATCCTGCATCACAAACAGAAACCTCAGGTTGTGGGACTTGAGGCTGCTTTTTTTTTTTTACACCCCCGCAGCTAAGGCAGTGCACGGAAACATCACTTTTTCAGACTATACAACGGCCAGACTTCAGCGGCCAGCAACGGGCTCTTCCAAACTCCCGTCTCAAGCCATGTTGTTCAAACTGTGGTACCGCACTCAGCGGACTTGAGTCCCACCAGGAAAGCACCAACAAGCTTGCTTTTTCAAAGAAGGAAATGCAGATGATTACACAGAGATCATTTATGATACGTTGGTGGGCAAAGAGTCTGTGGACTACGGGAAAACGGAATCCCCAGAGTTAGTACAAAGGACAACCGATGGTATCAGAGTCCATGGCAAGCAGGGTCAAGAAGACATGGCCCCTCACCCCTGCAGAAGCACACGGGACACACAGCAGAGTCCCTCCATGTTTCTGTGCTTGGACGCTGGCCGCTGAAGCCTGCCTGTTGTATCGTCTGAAAAAGTGATGTTTCCGTGCATTGCCTTGGACTTAGAAACAGATCTCCTTCATCCCAGCCGGGGATACCGACACCGTTGTCTAAGAAGCGCTCGTCCAAGGCAAGCTTCTTCTCCTCCCTTTTCTATTTTCTTAGGAGGTGCCTCTCAAAGGAAGCCTTTTAATGATTTTTGTTTTACCGATTGGTTTAAGATTGAACAGGAACTGGAGGGCCCTGAAGGCGGCCAGGGGGAAGAGTGATGAACCCAGCACAGAAATGAACGAGTGCAGCCAGGCGCCTTCTCCTCCGCCACAGCGCTGACCTTCATCCGCCCTCGAGGGGGCATTCCTTTGGATCAAAAGCTCCAAAGCTGGCAGGAAGGACGAGGCGAAGGAAGGCTCTGTAGGAAAGTGACTTCCTGGAGCGGAGCGCCCAGAGTGCTCGATCAGCACAAACCCTTTTCCCAAGCTTTGCAGCTCGGCGGCCGTGACCTGGGTCATTCTCACCACGCTGTACAGCCGCCTGTCTTCTGCCCTAACCAAAGCAGAACACTTTATTCTGCACATGAAGGACAGGGTTTATGGCAGGGTTTACGCAAGTCCCGTAGTGGAGGGTGGGGCACCTCCCTCCTCCACCCCACGCAGAGAGACATCATCATCATGGGCCTGCAGCCCTAAGCGAGGGCCAGGGACGGGTCCAGCCAAGGCCAGCAAACCCCTCCCCTCCTTGAGCCCTTCCCGCCCAGGCGCTCAGCGGCTCCTGAGCAGTTGGCTTGCACCCTGACCGAGAGAAAGCCAGACTCACTTTATAAGACTGGAGCAAGTCCAGGAAAAGGTTCAGCTTCTCCACCACGTCACTCTCTTCCTGTTTACCCTGGAAATCAGGAGGGCAAGCAAATGGAAGAAACGGTGTGAATCGGCCCAGTGGTTCGCCCACGTCCAGAGCCTGACTTGCCAAACCCACCCACCCCACCCCCAGTTTGATGGTTGGTTCGGTCCCAGTCCCAAACCTCAGGAAAGGGAGCGGCTGTCGTGATGGGCTGTCAAGTCAGCTCCAACTCAAGGCAACCCCAATGGCCTTTTTGGGACACGTGCGACTTGCAGGGAGTCGCTTATCATGGCCACCCCACAAGGGGAGGTGCACCGAAGGCAGACGGGCTTCGTGGCTGAGGATCCTGAGCCCAGCAGGGGTAAGGGGGAACGGGCGCAACGCCCCAGAAGGCCTTAAGCAGGACCCAAAAAGTATAGAAGCCAATTGTTGGTTCCAACTAGAGCAGACCCACCGAATCAAGGGAAGGGACTGAGCATTGACTTAACCAATCCTATTCATTCAACGGGACTAACCACTAGATTTAGCCCCCAAATCATAATCAAATCCACTAAGGTATTTCTTGGGAGGCAGAGCTATTGAGCA